GACAAAATAAAAGAGCTGGAATAAGAAAGGGTTTTATGGAGAAAGAGGTGATATTAGCTTTGTGATTGAGTGGGGAGAGTGGGACTCGGAGAAGTCGAGGGAATGGAGAGTCGCACTATAGGTGCAAGTGTTGTGGCGTTTTGTGGTGTTTCTCCTCTTAATTATCATGTCCTCCAGTGTGCCGTCTCCCTTCCCAGCTCACCCACTTTCTTCATCTCCTTTTCAATTTTCTAATTGCTTGGTTTTAATTAAAGCCACACAGCAATGACAGTGCATCAATTAAAAGCCAAGAAATGGGCACAGATAGTCAATGGCTGCATTTTTGTTGGGGAGGTGGTGGTGGTTGGTATTCCTGTCAAGAGTGCGTTGTATCCACAATACTGTCAGCCCTTAGGATGAAACAACAAGCTGCCTCACTCAGCATGAATAAGTGATGTGAAATCTCACATGCAGCTGCATATGGGGAGGCTCCTTAGTGTTTTGTGGTTTATTTCTTCTTTGTTTCTCACCTCTTTTCTTCTGTGTCATTACATGACATGTGACATCACATGTCTGTTTGTGTATCATTTCCTCAGCCCACTCTCCTCCCTCTAACCTTTCAATTACTGACGTGCTGTAGCCTCTCGCTCTCTCTCGCTCTCGCTTTCTCTCTCTCCGCTTCTCTCATTTTCTTAATGATACCGCATTCCACACTTTAGAACTTATTTCTCCTCATCCCATCTTTTAATTATGTAGCAGCGTTTTGGCTCCGGCTTCTAACGATACAGTCGGCGTCCTACCTGTTTTTACACAGGGGATTTTCCAGCTGAACTGGGTCCTAACTGTACGTATACGCTGATCGCTCCTAGATTTCCTGTGCAGTGAGACAATTACAATTACGTCCCTGCCTTTGATGTGCTTTCCAAAGAAGTGGGTCGAGTCAGATGAGAGTTTCTATGAGTCAGATTCTAATTTACCTCCAAGTTGAGAAAAATAAAACTGCTCTTTGTAAAACTTTGTAAAAGACAATCTGGAAATGATCATCACAATACTTGCCATTTATTTTCAGCTTTTTATTTGCATTTACTCCATCTTCATCATTCCAGCAAAAAGTGCAACTAGTTTGCTTTTCAAAATTCCTGTTTTGGAGAAGCTCACTGAGTTCGCCAGTGGTTACCTTGGCGAAGCAGACTTTATTATAAATTGATATCAAAGTAAAATGCTCATGTCTAATGAGTCTATAGAATTTGCAGAATTAACGTTGAATAAATAACAGACAAGGTAAAGACTTTAAAAATCTTTCTTTAGTTTTTTGTTTTCCAAATATAAACGCATTTTCAAAAGAGATGTGGAACATTGGTCACATGATAACAGGTGGCTGCTGGGAAGAGATGGTCATCCCCGTCATGATGGGTGTGAATGTGCTCGCTGATCTTTCTCTGGCCGTCCAGTGTCTCCTTGTCAACAATGTTGGCTTCAACCCCAGTTGATGCTGTGACCAGAGCTGATACTCGAAGCATCTAGCCAGCATTTTCAATTCTCAAGGAGCAGACACTTACCACAGAGTTTCAACAGCTTAAAAGAATAATTTGACCTTTTTGGCAAATACACTCATTTGCTTTCTTACCAAGAGAGTAGATAAGAAGTTCAGTAACACTCTTATGTCTGTATGTTAGAAATTAAGCTGCAGCCATAGACTGGAAACGGGGCTAAACAGCGAGCAATGGTAATAAAATCTCCCAGCATCCGCCCAGAACCTCTAAGGCTCACTAATTAACATTTTGCGTGTTGTTGTTTTAAACCTTGCAAAAATGAAAATAAACTGTGAGCTAGAGGAACACTGAAGCGGTGTACGATGTTACGATCAGCAGCTGTAGGGAACACAGAATGGAGCCTGGACAAGAGACTAAATGCTGATGCAGATCTCATGATCTTCAGCAGATGGCTCAGATGTCTTCATGTTCAGTGGTTGTATATGGGCAGGATTGTAGCGCATGATGTGGTTAGAAGCTTGTAAATTGATCTCGACACATTCTGATCCCAAGGTCAAAAATGAACCTCCATTTTTAAATTGAGCAGTTTAAGCACCAGTTTACCAGGCTGTTAAACTAACTCTGCCAAGAGTCGGTTCATAATTTATTCAAATGAATCTTTTTAGAACTATTTTAACAATTTTCCAGCTTCCATATGAAGTTAAAACTCAGCCTTGCCATTAATTTAACGTACAGTCAGTAAACTGTAAAGTGCATATAAAAATGTAAAATGTTCCATTCACTGCAAATAAGCACTTTCATCCTCAGATTTATGAAATTCTGTGCACGTCACTTTAGTAAGTGCATGTTTCCATCTTTTTTTTTTTTCTTTTCTCGACATTACAGTGATGGATGTTTATGTGCATGCAAACAAGCTTATTAGAGAATCCACACCCCATCAGCCCCTGCAAATAGTTACAAATGGATGCAGGGGTGTCTCATTTTTCCTGTTGATCATTTAACATCTCATTCAGCTCATTCAAACATGGTAAATAGAAAATCACTCTTTGGACTCTAACTCGGCGTCCAGAAGAATCTACATATACACTACATTTTTGGATGCATTTGGTTCCATTAAAACGAAAAGATTTTTCACATGATGAGAAGCATTTAACTGTGTACATCATCATCATCAAAACCAGAAAACTTGCGAAATGAAAGCCAGTATGAGTGTGCCAGCTTGTTAAAAATGTAGTGTGATAAAACGGATGCGTCTTTATGAATTTCATTTAATTGTTTCACTTTCAGGTTTTGGACTGTTCCGGGAATAAAACGTTTAAACAGCCAAAACGCAGGGTTTTTGTGAGTAATGTAAAGCAGAAAAGCATTGTGAGCTGCAGAGTTAGAGTAGCTACGCCAGATGCCAGACCTGCTATCAATTTAAATATAATTACACAGCACTCTCATCCATGCATATAACCTCTCCTTCTGTGCTCATTTATCATTTAACAGAATTTGAGGAAAAAAAAGTAAAATTGAACACTTACTTGTGGATCAATTTCTATCATGGTGAGGGATATTTAGAGAAGAGGAAATGGAATTTATGTTCTAAAGCCCCATTAATAATAATAGCTTGGAATATCTACAGATTCCATGTGACACTTTCATTAATATCCTTAGTGCTTTTAAATGATTTATTGAACTGCAGTATATCACACCACAGTATGCATGTCGTCTTTGAATTTTCCTTTTTTGTCCAGGTTGGTCAGGAACTTATTTCATGTTGAACTTCTGTGTGTTGTTGATAACATGGGCTTTTTCAAATCCCATTTGTAGCCCAAACTTTCACTAATATTTACACAGTACACTGTACATAAATCCTAGATGTGTACAGGAAGAGTGGATCTGTTTTGTAAAAAGCAGCCATACAGTAGTTTAGCCGGCAAGTTCTGATCAGCAGAGACAGATTGCACAGCAGAGCAAAGATAGAGGAGGAAACAGGGTGGAAAAAAGCTAAATTTGCTGACAGAATCAATTTTTGGTTTAAATGAATTAAAAGGAAAGAGAAGCAGGGAAAGGGGGGGATTGAGAATGTGTTTTACTTTCACCAAATGAGCCTATAAAACCTTTAAATGCAGCAATAAATAGACTCAAACTGCAACGGTAGACATAAGAAGATATAGATTTTAATATCTTTATAAACATTTTTGTACTGTTGTTCTCTGATGATAACTTACTGAACAATTGAATTATGGCAAAGAAAGAAGATGAGTAGGCATACAGTAGAACAAGAAAGAGTGAGGTGAGGAATTGTGCATTGACAAATAAAAGGTTCTAAAAAATATAACATGAAAAATACGTAAATAAACAAATCACCAGAAAATCAAAAATCGAAAGGCTCCCCCTGACGGGAGGAGCAGAAAACCCTGTTATCATCATTGATGTCACTTATATTGTTTTTCTCATAGTAATACAGTAAATGATTAATATCAGCACTGCAAGAAGTCCTCCATTGTCTCCATTGTTACTGTTACAGTTCACATCATTGATACAAACACCATCTTATCGGTAGATTTAAGGGAGGCACAAAAGCTCCAGAAGTACAGCAAGATGTCCCGTAATTGTCCATCTGTCAGTCTGCATTGTGCCGCATTCCCTTGTTACTTCAGAAGCGATTGTCTCGGTCTTGGATCCTCACATCCATGGACAATCACGTCAGTTAATTAGGAGGCATAATTCTCTCTGCATGATCCCTGTTTTGCCATGCTCCATTCAAACTGTTTTTTGAATGTTTTTTTTTCTTTTTTTTCTTTTTTTTTTTGATCACGAGTCATTTAAGGTACACACACATTTTTTTCTCCAGTCTTGTTCTTGTATTCCTTTTGAAGTTCGGTAATTAAGAAAAAAATGCGTTCCTCATATTCTCAATGAGGAAAGTATGCCCTCGCTGAGGAGGGATCAGTTCAGCACAACCTCACTGGGAAACTGAGAAAGCCCCATCTGACCCTCGACCTCTAAGGCTCCTGTTGGCCCTGCAGCAGGGATCCATCTCTAGGTCCATTTTGTGTCTTAGAAAAATCAAATGAACAACATCTGACACGAGATATAGACAGACTCTTCAATATTCACAGCTTGATCTCCCAGAGACACACAGTTTTTCCAAGCAAATGAAAATAGCGCATGGCAGTCCTCGTCGTCTTGAGACAATTAGCAGCTTATTATTCAGTTGCACAGGAGGAGAAAAGTGGAAATGAAGATAGAAGCAGAGTTGTGTGCAGAAATGCAATATGAAATACAGTTACATGGGCAGAAAGGGGTGGGGGTGGGGAGGGGTGGGGGGTTGCCCCAGTCTCTCACCTGTTAGAGTGTGTACCACTAACAAGGCTGAGTCCTTACCGCAGCCGCCTGGTTTCAATTCCAACCCGGACCCTTTGCTGCATGTCATCCCCTCTTTCTCTCTCCTTGCCTTTCCTGTCACTCTCTACTGTCTATCAAAAAAAAAAAAAAAGCAGAAATGTAAAATAAAAACATAAAAAATAAAATAGGCAGAAAGGTTGGAACAGCACCTGGAAAAAAAGCCTGCAATATGTAGAGAGTAGTTGTTGTGATTTGTTAGAGCTTCATGCGGTGTACGAGCTAACTGGTTGTTCTGTTTATGGCCTTGAAACACCTGTGGCTATAGATTTCCATTCTGTAACAAGAATGACACATTCTTATGTCTGACTCTGACACTAACAATTTATTGCCATGCTTACACTTTACCTCTGTTTATGAGAAGCACTCGCAGCTTGTTACGGACCAGCAGGAAGAATGAGAGCAAGATGGGGCCGATACCGAAGGCTTTTATGTGCTTTCATTTTGTTCCTTCCTGCTAATGATTTACAAACAGTGGACTGAAAATTAAAGCTGGACGGAGCGCTTGAAGACCCAGCTCATCTGTCTCAGAGCTAACTGGCTAAGAAGTTTTACTTCACTTGCTCAGTTATCTCTTGCTCTCTTTACACCAACTTTTGGTTATCCGAGCTCCAGTTGAGTGAAAAACCAAAGTTAAAAAAAATAGATGCCAGGACATATGAAGATGAAATCATACTGGCTTAAGTGGCAGTGCAAGCTTGGTCTGTATTCATCTTTTCATTCTCAGTCCCTCCAATTTTTGTGCTGTGAGTCTCTCTGTTGTAGATGTTTGATGCTTTGTTTGAGTCTGAACAGTAAAGCTCCCTACACAACATTTACACATATAATCACACTCACACACACATACATAAAAGACACACAGGCCTTGTAGTGCAGGAGCAAGAGAGGGTCTGAGGGCTGTGTTTTTTTTTGTGATTAGCATTTGCCAAACCCTCTGAAGGTCAGCGGAGAATATAGTCAATATTTGCTGTTATCAAGGCCACAAAGAGGGCGTAGACATGTAGTAAGGACTGGGATAAGGTTGCCCTATTGTTGGCTTGCTGAACCCCACTAGGGGGGCGAACAGTGGTCCGCGGAGTGCACTTGTGCTTCCTCCTTGTGACGGTGCCGTCTGGGGACGTGTGGTCATGTTTCCCCCCGTCTGTGAAATCTGGGGAGGAATCCTCCTTGTCTGCCATGACCTCCTTTGAGTGGTGAACCTCATTGTCACCCTTCCCCTTGCTCACCCTGTTACGAGGCTTTGTGCAGTTCCGAGAACGGCCGGGCCTCGAGGGGTGCACTATGTGGGTCTGCCCTCCAGACCCCACCGCTACACCGCGATTCATAGACGGATTCACCGTGCCAGATAAATTGTTAGTCTGGGCTCTGGACTCAGAGCTAGGAACAGTTGGTGAACAGTTGGGGAAGTCCTCCTTGCGCAGCTCTTTCAGGTCTTTCCCAACCATATTAGCCGGTGCCTGGCAACCCACCGAAGACGTTGAACCTCGGAAACGCTTCAACCATTCCCATAGCGACAGGGCTTTGCAGTCACATGACCACGGGTTGTCGTTGAGGCGCAGGTATTCTAGGGCGGGCAGCATGTCCAGGCACTGTCCAGACAGCTGTATCAGGGAGTTGTTGAACAGGTAGAGGGTGGTTAGACGTTTCAGGTCATGGAAGGCCAGGCGGTCGACCCACTCAATCTGGTTTTGGTGCAGAAGCAGTCGGTCCAGGGCTCGAAGGCCTCTGAAGGTGTTCTGGTTAAGGCTCCACAGACGGTTTCCATGCAGGAACAGGTGGCTCAGGTTGTGGAGGTCCATAAACGTGTCATCCTGCAGGAACTTCAGATGATTATCCTGAAGAGACACAGAGCATGCAATCACAAGATTATATATTACGCAGTGTTTTCAATCTAATATTATTGTATTGTATTACTGTAACTTAAATGTTTGTCTACACAGTTTGTGAGCCGGACACGCACACAGTCACGTTTGAACTATTGTTCTGAGCAACTGGACACAACATTGGAACAAATTAAATATTCACTGTGATCGTCCGTTCAAATTCAAAATTCTCATTCAGTGATAATGGCGTGTGTCTTGTACTCCAGTGGTGGGTGTTCTGTCTGACACATTTGCATGCCCTGTTGCCTTTAGTAAACAAGGCTATTGTTGTTATGTAACACTGGTGAGCAGTTCTGAATGGGTAATCTTGATATAATAGCATCTGAGCAATGTGTGGAACAGTGGAAGCATTTTGGATTTGATATCAAAAAATTATGGATGTGGGGAAGGTTGTTTGCTGTTGTAAAATGCAACAGCCTTACAATAAAATTAACTTGTCATTCATTTGAGGCAGCACTGCACATATACACTACATTTACTCTATAACATAGTTTAGGATTAGGCTACGTGGGATGTGTAAGAATGAATTAGGTATTAGTTTAAGTGACAGCCCTACGAGGGTCTTAGTGGTAAAATAAACCACAGACAAACTGTGAATGAAGTGTACCTGCAAGTAGAGATACTGCAGATTTCTGAGGCCTTGGAAGATGTTATTAGGAAGTGAACTGAGTCCACATCGGTACAGGTGTAGCGCATTGAGCCGACTCAGCCCGTGAAAGGTGTCTTCAGCCAAGGAGCGCAGGTGGCGGTTGTCTCCCAGATCCAGCTCCTCCAGCAGTGTGAAGCCGTGGAAGGTGGAGGGCTCGATGTACGTGATGTTATTGGAGTAGATCCAGAGAGTGACTGTGTTGGAGCTGAAGTGGCCCCGGAGTAAACGATGGATCTTATTGTTCTGTAAGAAGATGCGCTCACTGTCAGGAGGAATGCCTTCAGGGACCGACAGGAAGTTGTGGGCTTGGCAGGAGACGGTGCTGGGTGCAGTGTAGCAGATACAGTGACGAGGGCACGACCAGGAAAACTCGAGTCCACAGAGAACGAGCAGGAACTCAAGCCCGCAGCCTGCAGTGAGCACACACGAACACACACACACACACACACACACACACACACACACACACACACACACACACACACACACACACACACACACACACACACAGGGGTTGAGAGAGATTAGAGACATACATCACACACACGCACACACACACACACAGAGACGGGAAAGAAAAAGGAAAATGAATTAAGTGCATAATTCATTTTAACTTTAAAGTTGGAGTCAGTGACTTCTTGTCTAGTTCAAAACCTGAAAAGGAGAAACATATATACAAACAACATTATGCTAACATGCTAATGTGTAGCATTTTCTCTCTTATCAGTTCAGCTCATGGCACAGACCACACTACACACATATGGACCTTCTCTGTCACAGTTAGCAGGCCAAAATCTACTGAGTTCATTTAGGCCCACAGTGAGGAGTCTGTTGAAGAGAGCAAACAATGACACCTGCTCCAGTGAGTCACACGATGTCCCTGTCAGGCTGATTGGATCCCCAGTGCAACACTCTGATTGGACACACATGCAGCCATTTCATTTCCCCCTTCCAATATTCTGCCACCTTAGGGAGATGTGCTATTAAGAATCCAGTCCCTTCCCTGAGTCCATTGGCACTACTTTGCAGTGAGCGGAGGCTGTCATCAGTCCGTTTGTGTTGTTAAATGGGGCATGGAATGCTTATTTAAACTTGTAGTAAGCTTCTCTGAGGCGCTTTCTGATCAGTGACATGATTCCCCAGATCCTTGAGATGGGAGATGTGACTTATCCACAATCTCATCTGAAATGAGCACAACTCACCCCCCCCCATCATGAAAGTTCCATCTGACAACCCCTGGCTGTCTTCTGCTCAATTTATTATTCACAGCATAGCGGACGCCAGATTCACTGCCTCTAATCGATAGGCCTCTGTTGCCTTTTAACACGCCCTGTAATCCTGGCTCTTTTATGCTGGAAATTCAGGAGCTGCAGAATTACTCTCCACCAAGAGACAGGCGTATTTATCTGAATGTATTTTCTCGCCAAACTGTGGCTAAGCTGTGACATTCAGCGTCTGACTCCACTGACCTTTAACAGTAATTCTGTGTCTAGTTGCGGAGCTGGAGCGCGGAGCTGCGTGCCACCTGAACAGGAGTGTGCTCGTGCACGGATCTAATCCTATTTGTTAAGCCCTGCCACTGGGCAACAATGGAAATGCATGCATCCTTATAAACCAGAACTGCGCCCACTAAATGAGGCGATTCTTCACGGTTGAACACTGTCAAAAGGTTGAACGTGAGTGTGTGATCACATGTGCAGGTGAAATATTGCGCATGAGACCATAATGTGCCATGAGAGTGCTACAATAGGCCTTGGCTTTATTTCGATTTTTCATTTTAATGTCATGTCCTGCATCAGGACATGGATCCGTTTAGTTTGTTGCTGGCTATATCCACATTTGTGACACCGTCAAGAGCAAACAGGAAAGCTGTTTCACTATTTTGTCACTGTACTTTCTCTCTACTCGCTGTCTCCATGAAGATGTATCAAGCATGGCACCCGCTGACTGAGTAAATGGGTGAGAACATTTTTCATTACTCTTGGGAAATAAAGGTTTGTTTTATTTATCAGATAAATAAGCAAGACAAGACACAGTAAATTTTCCAGCTGCTCTTTGTGGAAAATTTGCATAAAGCAGCAGCCACCGAGGTACCTGAGATCCAGCTTTCTAGTCATTTAATTTGGTATTCGCTCCTACTTTATTAGGGTATTGACCCTCACAGGAGTTCCTGTCTTTATAAAGAATGCACAAAATAAAAGAAATGGAATCTGTCTTTTGCTTTTACATTTGTTCTGAATTGAAATGAGACTGGTTTAAATCACTTGCCTTATCATTTCACTCCATGATCATATTATTCAAGGCCTTAAACTATTTCCATTTACTCTTTACTTCATGCATGTCTTCCAGAGAATTAGGTACCAGATGTCTAACAGGAAAATGATCTGAGAAGGCAAGAGACAGACATTGATAAGCGTGATACACAAGGAAAGCGAGGGAATGAGAATGTAGATGCTGCCTAGATAGTGAGGCGGTTTGAATCAGTGATCTGCTAATCATGTTGGACACATAAGGATGCGCCTCCTCTCCTCTCACTCTCCTCAGCTTGTCAGGACAAAGTAATAGATTCTTTACCCTGCTTAATCTATTCCTCTAAAAATGCTGTTTTCACTCGCTTTGCCAAAAACCCCTCTCTCTTTGCAGAGGAAAAAACATCGAGAATGAGAACATGGTAGATATAGGGTATAATGTCTTCCTCTTTTTGTTGCCTATGAACATAATCTTTTAACGTGAATCCCTGTGGAGGCTTTGGAAGACGTGAACTTATGATGTGGATGCTCTTTAGATGCTGCAAGTATCTCATCCAATCTCTGCATGCAGATTGAGTGACTGGAGAGGAGCGTACACAGTTTTCCTTGTTTTCAGCAACACTGAGGGCATCTGTGCTCTCGTTTGCAGCTGGCATAATATGCGCTTCCACTGGAGACTGTAACACCTGCCAGCTCACTCATCTCAGCACCCATGTATTTACGCCGCCAAACACTTCTTTAAATACAGCTGGTAACGAAAATGCGCGTATGCATCCTCACGTCACAGTGTTACAAATACGTGTATGTGTATAAGCTCTCTATACAGTCTCAAGCAGTAACGCATACGTCAGGTTTGGAACTGAATGGGGCAGATCATGTCAGTGTGACAAGCATAAAAGGCTGAATGACACTTGTTTACAGAGCTTCGAGTTGGGAGACTGTTTTTTAAGCACAGAGGAAAAAATAGGTATTGTGTGGGAATGCTGTCCTTAAATGAAAATGTAAGAAATTAATGTGTGTCATAACTACATTGTGCGCTCACACAATGAGCCATTCAGCCCAAATTGTATTATAAAAATAGCTTTGGACACGACGGAGCATATATATGCCAATAGTGCCTATTGGAATTTGGCAGAATAAAGGAGCGGCTCTGAAAGAGAGATAATGTGTTTTTGGAAAGGAGAATGCGCAGCTATTTCTGGTAGGAGTCTGGGCTGTGTATTAACACTCTCGTCACAAGTCTTTCACCTCCAAGTCTCTCCCCATGCCGCTTTTCGTCACCCCCTCTTTTTCCTGCCTAATGGTTACTGATGACAGATGCTATTGATAGCTCTTCACAGGGAGAATCACGATTGCCACTGTGACCCCATCTTCACCAAATTCCCTTTTACCTTTGGCAGTATAGAAAGGAAATGGATAAATAAATGAATAAAACAGAATGGTGCGGGTCCCCTGACAGACAATGAGAAGTGACTGAGAAGAATATCAATGAAACATAGTTCACACTAGATTTGCCCTCATGAATAACCCATCTCTGCTAATAGGAGGGAAATGGTACGTCTGTATAGCTGCGTGACTCTGCCCATCATTAGACTGGACAAACTCAATTTCCTGTGTCTCTCCAAAGACCCCGATAAGCACCCTGGTGTTTTCACTCCCGTTATTGGCTGGTTCTAAATAACATCTCAACTCCGCACTCAGATGATGTTTACAGTCGTGGAAATGCTCACAGTGGTTGGTTAATAATGGTAAACTCTGGTGAACTAAACAGTGTGGTGCTAATTGAGGTTTCACTATAGGCCTGTGTGATACTATAAAATTCTAGTGTATTTTATAGAGGAGTAAAGCAAAACTACCATCTGTATCTTTATATCACAAAAATATCTTACTTATACCATAAGTCTCTTAACAGCCCAGTGGCCACATCATGAAAAGCTACCTGAAGTTTTTATTATTAAATTTTCTACTGCCTTTATTCATATTATAGTTAAGTGGAGCTTCCAATAAAATATACAAAATGACAAAATAAACAGTGTTGGTAAAGCTACTTTGAAAGCATAACTTTGCCAGCTACCAATTACTTTACACTGGAAATAGTTGAACTACAGCACATCTTACCCTAAAGAGAAATCTAGTAAACTAAAGCTACAATGTACATTTGATATGAAATTATAAGAAAATATAATTCAAAAAATGCCACTCAGTTTAGTTTATTGAAAAAAGCACAGATTTGTTCACAGGTCATACATAAACCAAAAAAATAAAATACCCCACTATTCATGGGGAAGTGCTGAAGTGTCAGCTTTGGTTTTGTAAACAATAACAGCCTTTGGCCGTGGTGATTGTTCCTCAGTCTCAGGCGCTCTATCCATGATGTCACTGTGTGAGCACTGAGCAACACCTGCCCTCGGCTTTTGCACTTGCACTACACATAGGTCAAGTGTGTGGTGGAGACTGCCTGATGAATGCATTGCCTGGACATGTCTTCACAGTGGCCAGGATAAAAAGAAAAAGGGGACAGGGCTGGTCAAAGGGGGTTCAATTACAGTAGACAAGCAATGGAAAAAATTAAAATTAAGAAAAAAAAAATTCATTTCCTTTTTGTGGCCCAAAATTGTTTGTAGTTTTAGTAGTTAACTACATAAAAATGGCAAAAAAAAGTAATTCAACAACTTAAATCACTATGCACATATGAATGTAGTTGCACTCCCAGCAAGCTACTGCAAAATGTAGTTAAATTACCGGTTTAATCATATGTAGTTCACAAATCCCCAACACTGATAATATGTTGGCCATGTACTTTTGATTTGTATTTGAAGCACACCTTCTAAAAAATAAAGAGAAAAGTTAATTTAAACTGAATCAGTGGAGGTTTTAACCACGACAGTGACTTTCCTTTTAAAAGTTTGAGTTTGGGAGGAGGCCAGGTTGGTCTGAAGTTTCTATAAATTAAGGTAAAAAAGCTATTGAGCAAAATCTGAAGAGTTCTTTTGGCCATTTTAAATGCACATCTGAGACGGCTCCTAACTTCAGCTCTTTATTTTCCCATCTACTGTCAAGTAATGCAGGGTGCCAGGCTTCAATAGCAGATCATGTGGTAAAAATTAATAATATTGACAGCAATATTACTGCAAAAAAAGTCTTACCTGTTAATATCTAAATTATGTATTTATA